GGTCAAAGAAAAGCGGATTGTAAACAGGTTTGGCGAATGAGACATGTCCAAAATGGCCTGGACACTGAACGTAATCCAAACCACAGTGTCCGCATACATCACGTTCACTGCATGGGCCTAAGAAATTGTCAACTTATGCTAGCTTTTACCTAGAGCCATATCGTGTAGTCCACCATCAACGCCACGATTAGTAAACTTATCAAATGTCGCATCTGATGTGAGTTCAATTACGGAAAGCTTTTTAATTTCTTCAGGTGAGTAAAAACAGAACCCAAAGCTGTTTATTTGACCGTCAACTAGGGGATCCATTGCTGAAATGCCTAACTAGCCGGTCTTAGCAGCTCACTCGACCTTGGGGCGGTCAGAACGTGAACTTTTGACGTTTCCGTCTCCATATCAGTTTATTAAAACCAGAAAGTTGCTGGACAGCTGTAGTTTTGTGAGTCATTCATAAGGGCTTTTTAGTAGCATCGTATCTTTTTTGATGACTATTGATTTCAGAGAATCAAACGACTTGTTATATCTCTTATTAAGGCTCTCTTTAAGTGGGGCTGGTTGAAATGGCCCAAACTTTATAAGTGTGGTCTCAGCTTAAAATGGACTCGATGATTCCACAGGGAATTGTTCAACTTTCTTATTCATGTCGCTCGGGGGACCCCTTCATTCGGGGATGCCCTGGGTAACGATCAACGTAGCTTTACGTGCAGTGCAGATATGTTTATGCTTTTGTCTAGAATTTGCAAAACATGCACTAAGGATGTATTTGTGGCGCACAAATTTCCGACATTTGCCTTGAAAGAATCTGTAGTTTAGGCACGAATAAAGTTGAGACAAACAAGCACTGACAGTGTCCACCAACTTAACATATGTGAGCGCAGTTTATTTACGTTTATGAAAGGAAGTTCTGACACTTATTTAAGGAACTATCGTACTGTATTATGTGATTCATTGGTGTCTCGTAAATTAGAACTTATTCAAGACTTCTTCAATGTTCCGACTTTCTTAACTTAGCTAACCGAATTTGGAAGTTTTTGTTATCTGTAAACAGCCCAGTGGATGAATAAAGTTGACCGCGCGTCAATTTTGGTATTCTTTAACTACGGTTAGCATCCATGGTCTGCATGGATCATGCCCATTTTTTCACCAAATAGGACCATCGGCCTCATTCTTACCTACTGAAGCGGAATTCACTGCAATATCAAAAC